TTTATTTATTCCCCATATGCCCATGAAGTTTGTAAAATTCATCATATACCTCAGGTTTTCTAAAAAATACATCATATACCCTTGATGACTAATGATTGTTAACTTTGTCAATTATTAGGGTTACTTATGACTCAAAACTACCTTAAATACATTCCTCCACCTCCGAAATCACCCACATTTCTTTTTCTCACCTTCAAAACCACGCCAAATTTCTTTTTCTCATTCTCAAAATCGATTATACGAATATGATTATTGAGATTTAAAGTATTTTTAGGGATTGCACAAAGGAGAGGAGTGATTTCAGGGATGAAAGAAGAGATATAAGGTGGTGTTGATGCATAATTAATCAAATTCCATTCATTTTGTTGTCATCAGGGGTATGTGGTGATTTTTTGTAAAACCTCAAGGGTATATGGTGAATTTGACCGTTTTCATAGGTATATGGTGAATAAATAAAAAAAACTCAGGGGTATGTGGTGAAAAAACCATAAATTTTAAGTCATTTCTTATGTTTGTAACTTAATTTTAATAGCTGGACAATTTTATTGGCTGCACAATTTTTTTTTTTTATTATTATGGACTGAATTTTTTTATAAAAAAAAAAAGACTTATGATGGACTAGACTACTGTAGTTTTTAATTCATGGCAAATATTAAGCTATTTCTTTTAAATTTCTAGGTACAAAATTAAGGACATAAAGTCCAAAAAAATCGGTCCAATTATCAGGCCAATTTTAGGCCTAAAATAATAGGCCCAACAAAAATTTGGTTCGGCTTGGATTCAATTTCAAAAACCAAATAATTTCGGTTTGGATTTGATTGGTTGAATCCAAATTTTGTTTGGATTTTGTTTCAAAAATCTAAAACCGAATTAATTCAGTTTACTGTAAAATCCAAATCAAATACCAAACTTTCATCCTTAGATGAGTCGGATAGTGAAGATTTTGAGAACCACAATTTGAGTGGTGAACAAAGTGACCTTAATTATATTATGTGGCAGGTCATGATATAGACTACAATAAGTATGAAACAGAAGAGGATGATTGGTAAGATGACTATCAGATTTATGAAGCTAGTTTTGGGACTGATAGTGAAGTTCTTGAGGAAGAAGATCTAGATGAGTGTAGAGAGCATGAGATGTTAGACGGTGACACAACTGATGATGAACAAAGAGTAGCTAGAGATTTAGTGAAGGGATTTAGCTAAAGTATTATAGAACTAGCATATAAACTACAAGTAGAGGCTGTTGAGGGTAAGCTTACTGCATAGAGGAATGAGGGGTCAGTTGTGGGGCCAGAAGTTAGGGAGGATAGGAATGTTGTTTCTGAATGCGAACATTCAGAGGATGAGATACACACACACACTCCCAAGTGACCAAGATGACACTTTAGAACACAGAAGAGCCAAAAAATGGGCTGCTAGTTGGAAGGGACACGAACTATTCTAAGTTTCAATGGACAGTGGGATTGAGATTTACCTCTAGGGTGGATTTTACACAAGCTGTGGTAAAGTTTGTAATATTCCAAGGTAGGAACTTATGTGTTGTACTCATGTGGCTGCAAATAAAAGAAGACATCAGAGAATCGGTGAGTGTAGTGTTAAGGGATGTCCTTTTTGGTTGTATGCATATTGAGATTCAAGAAGAGGGTCATTGTAACACCCTAAAAATTCCTTTTCTTTAAAATATCTGTTTTGCTCCTTTTATATACGAAATAGAAAATTCTAAGACATTATCACCACAGTTAAAACAGCTAAGGTGATTATCAAAGACAAACAACAGGAGACTATTTTTAAAACCATTCAAAACAAGTCAACTTAAAAAGTCAAACAAGACGAAAGTAAAGTCAAACCAAAGTCAACCTACAACTAGGAACTATTGTAGGCTCTTAATAAAATCAAAATAAATATTTAAAACCTTTTCGATAGTCTCACAAGCAAAACATTTAATAATCAAAGCAATAAACCACTTTATATCATGTGAACTTTGAAAATTAAAATTTAAATATAGCTGAAATATGTTTTCTCTCTCTCTCTCGCTCTCTCGAGGGTCATCAATGAAAAAACTTCTTGCTTAGGCAACATGGCCTTGGGAACATTTGTTAGATATTTAGATAGCTTTCTTTCTCAAATTGTTTTATTTTACAGGTTTTCAGCGTTTAGGTCTCGTTTGCCCTGTCTTGTTCTTTTCTTTTCTTTCTTTTATTCTTTTTGTTTCTTTACTTTGTTATCATGTCTGGGAATGATTGTCAAGCAATTGTTCCTACATGTTTCGATGATAAGCAAAAAGATGACACCAACATGTTGGATGATTTGCCTGATAGTGATGGTAACATTGCTAGCAAATTCGACGATGTGATGGTTGATGATCTTCCTACAAAGGTTTCTCCAATAAGAAATGACTCTCAGCATAAGTGATGAAAGACATATATGTCACTCTTAGGGATTAGTTTTAGAGTTATTTTCGTGTTTATTTTCCTTTATTTACCCTTTTATTCTCTTATTTTCTTTTTAATAAAGTTTCTAGTTTATTTTTTAGTTTTAGTATGTTTTAATTTAATTTCTTTATTTAATTAGTTTCTAGTTTATTTTCATATTTTATTTGCTTTCTATTTATTTTATTTCGTTCCTTTTCTTTGTTACTTTCATAGTTTTTATTAGTTTTATGTTTATTTTATTTTGTTATTTTATTTTATTTACTTGTATAGTTTTATATTTTTATTAGTTTGGTTTTATTTCTTTTATTTTCTATTTTATTTATTTTATTTTATTTTTTGTCCCAATCCCTTTCCTCGGTTTTGTGTGTAGGTGTTCGGGTTTTAAGTCAAGTGAGTTTGGTTTCCGAATTCATGTCAAAAGTCAAACTCCAGCCACAACAAAACACCAACGCGAGCTGCAGCCACCAACCAAATTAGCCCAACAATTCCCAACCACCAGCTCCACCTACAACCTTCACTACACCACCAAACTAATCCACGCACCCCAACAACAGCAATCACCACCTACCCAACAACCATCGCCACCGTTGCTGCCTCCAATCAACCACCACGCAACCATCGTCAGCCACCAATTTCCCTGCTTCGCACACCTAGCAGCCACAACAGCCACCCAAACCACCTGAACCACCATCACCCCACATTTCACCTTACCCTTCACCACACAAATCAGCAGCATCTCCACTTTCAGCCACTCTAGCTCCCACGCAACTGCACCACCGCAACAATCAACCCCTGCACCACCATAGCCACCAATCGACTCTACCCACAACAACAGCAGCCCCTTCATTCAAACAGCAGCAACATCACCAATTTACAGCAACAAATCAGCCACCAATTGCAACCCCAAATCGCCCAAGCAACAACCCCAATTTAGAGTAAATCACGAATTATCATGGTTCGGGCAAACCATTGAGGAGTTCGATCGAAATGCAAAAAGAGTCAGAAACATTGGAAGTTTTGTAATTTGAAGAGGTGTGAACTCACCCATGGTTCGACCGAACCAACCCCGTAGTTCGGCCACACCATCCCATGGTTCGACCGAACCATTCCACGAGCTTCACACATGGGTTTTAATGAAGATCGAACGGTGGTGTTTGCTTGATGCCAATTTTCAATGATGATGAGCAGTGGTGATTTGATGATGATGGTTGCTAGTTTGATTTGGTGAGATGCAAAGCATGGGATTAAAAGCAGCTTAATTCGAAAGAAGAGGAGGAAGTAGGGGTCTAATTGTTTTGGTGGGATTGGTGGGTTTTAATATTTTCTTTTTCTTTTATTTTTATTTCTTTCTTTTCTTTTCCCTTTTTCTTATTTCTTTCTTTTATTTTTATATTGAGTTTCTTATTTTATTTTTCCTTTTTACTTTCTTTTCTTTTCTTTTATTTACTCAGTATTTTTTATTAGCTTTGTATATATACCCATTTTTGGGGTAATTAAAACAAGGAAACAATTACCATATATTCTATTCTCTAATTAGTTTTAGGAGAGCTTCTCTCTCTAGGTTTAGGTTAGGATCAGAGTAGTTTAGAGAGAGAAAATAAGGGTTTCACCATTGTTGAGCTTGGATATTGAAGTGGAAGATTGATCATCTTGCTTGTAGATTTTCACATTCAATCAATGAGAATCTCTAACTCCCTCTCCTCTATTTTAATTTGCTTTATTTTGATTATTATTTTAGTTGTTGGTATTGCTTGTCAATCATGTTTATTCTTGATTGTTTGTTAATTAATCTTGTTATTAGCATGATTAGTGAGTAATTTCCCTATTAAGGGGATGGTTGTGGTGTAGTTGGATCTTGACCATGTTCTAGGTTTTAGAATTAATTTATTTGTGATTAAAGTCTTTATATGCTTGATATTCTTTAATCTTCTTGCAAGTGCACATTGTTGGTTGATTAAAGGTGAATCTTTGCTAACAAGGAACGGAAGTTGACTTAGTTAAGGTTCATTACTATCGATTGTTATTTAATAGTACCTCCTAGTATATGGTTCTAATGTGGAAACATAGAGGCTATGTTAGGAGAAGCCAATTGACCCTGGAAGGAAGCTAGATTGGATCCTTTATACACTACTACAAAAGGCGTGCTTTTTAGACGCTTTTTGGCCTTATTTTTGACACTAAAAAGCGTCGCAAGATTTTTTCTCGAGAATAAGTGAGTCGAGAATTTTGTTGGACATCAAAAAGCGTCGCGAATCTCGACGCTTTATTGTGTCTAAATTTTTTTACGAAGCGTCGCAACTTGCAATAGTTGGCGCACTTTCTTAACTTTGGCGACGCTTTTTGTAGTCAAGAATCTTAAGATTGGTGACGCTTTTCTGTGTCCAGATTTTCATACATTTGTTGTCTAACATTTTGGCAACGCTTTTTCCTGTCCACGTTTTCTAATTTGGGGACGCTTTCTCTTGTCCATATTCTTTATAAAAAAATATTAAAAATACTAAAAATATTTCATTCACTGACAATGATTTCTAGCATACTAATATACATTATTAAAAAAATTAAGAAGTACAACAAAATTATACCGAAATTTTTATATTGCATATAAATATATTATAGCATATATACAATATCTCATAGTAATGAGTTTCTATTACAACAATTATAATTGCAACTTACAATTCAGTCGTGACAAGTTGTAGTGGAACAAATTCCGAATCACTAATTGAAATCTATATACTAATGCTGACTACAGAAATTACTATAAAGAAAATGAGAAAATTATCATACGGTTGAAAGTTTTAGCTTGAAGGTAAACCCAAATTTTCCATACACAGTTAATAAAATCCAGTGCAGCCCTAACTTCATCCTTCACCTGAACGTGCACAGGCAAAAGTAACAGAATTCAATTCACAACCATCAGCAGATCCAACTTACTTGGCCTTCTCTGCAGAAGATATGAGCATCATCCTGAAACAGGTGGGAGATAAATATTAGGACCAGATAAATTAAACCACATGAATTGCAAAAGATTCAGGGATCAAAACAATGGCAACATGAAAGCTTTGTGAAACCATCACGACATCACGCTTAGCAACTTGCGAAGAAGAATTGTTATACCTTATAATATACAACTATACAGTTAAGTGATGAAACCAATAATGCTCACAATTCACGTACATCTAGACATCATATACGATTCATTGTTTAACATTTTGCGAGCTCCAGGCCTCCAGCTTTTTATTTCCACATTATTCTTGGTTAAAATTATTTTTTTGGCCTAACCCCCTTCATTAGTGAGATCTTCCAATAAGGAACTAAAAATTACGTCACCCCAACACGACTAAGTTGCAGAATATCGTTCATTATATAGTATCGTACCTGCTGGAATCTCCTAACACACGTCAATCCAGTGAGGGCACCACTAGCCTCATTCCTGTGAAGCACCCCAAAATCAGCAAAGCGGAAAGGGAGTTCTGCATATGGTCAAAATTGTTAGGTGGAACTTTGAATTAGAAGTTGCAAGATGATAAATTGACTAGAACCGAAATTAAATTGCAAGAAGCAGGAAGTTCTTAATTCATATAACCAAGGAAAAGATTATGTAATATAAAATCATAATAAAAATGCAATATATTTCTCACAATTAGTACTTAAAATGGCCAATTTTTTTGATGATTGACTATAAAAATATGTTGCATTTTTCCAAGCAGATGAAGAAGGTTCATGAGTACATACACTACATACCTTCGAGCTAAACCCTCAAAGTTCCCACCATCACCAATAGTTACATGGACAACACCACAACGGTCAGATTTACCTCCATACACTCGATTATGTTAAAATATTGGAAAATACTTAACATCCAATTTCTTATATAGACCAACAAGATAAAATAATTTATAAACATTTGTACCGATTTGGTGAGCCGTTTTGCTATTGTACCAAGGGACATGGAATAAAACAATCATTAAGGTGTTCTCTTCCTGTCTACCTTACCAAGATTAGCTTACAAATAGAACATGGGATAAGTGATATCAAACTATAGAAAAGGGAAAAAAAGGAAGTATACCAAATTGGGTTCCCCAGGTAACAATCATTACATTTAATGATTCAATTAACAGAACAAAAAGGCTATAATAGATTAATAGGGTTACCCAACTAATAATCATTACATTCAATGACTCAATTAACAGAACAAAAGGCCACAAAAGATGTTTCCCCATGTAAATTACGGAATATATCCAACTTAATAGTAGTGAAAGGCCTTGCCTAATACTTCTCAATACAAATGGAAAACACAGTAGACTACAGTTAATGCATCCTCTAGAAAGTAGCAACTATTATTCAGGATATTAGTTCTAAGCAAGAACATATTCTATCAGAGCAATACCTTGTACAGTAAAATTGAGAAGTATCTAATTAAGCACAGATCTTTGACATGAATTTTCCATCAGTAAAGTAATAAGGTCCAGATCACTAAGTGTCACAAGTTTTTAAAATCTCTACTTGTAAAATGAAAGATGAGTGAAGCATACCCAATAATGGCACTAAACATATCCTTAAGCATACCCAATAATGGCACTAAAAACCAACATTCTACCTTTGCTTTAGAGAGTGTTCGAAGTCCATGGGTGCAAGAATGAGTGCAAGTATTATAATTATAAAATGCCTGATTTAAAATGCAGTAGGAATCCGGCAGTATAGATTAAATAATTAAAATGCAAATTCATTCAGCCACGAAATTCAACAAAATTAAGCAGGACATAATCAAAATTGGCAGAATAAGCATATAATAATGAGAAATTGACAAAACCCAAAACATTCATTAAATCAGTTGCCTGGACACTAACCAGTTTGTAGAGAGTGCCGAAATGATAGCAAACTTAACTAGAAAAACAATATATATATATAGCAGCAACAAGCATATGAAACAAGGATAATATAAAATGTACCAAAACATGCACTTACAAACTAAAACCTGAACCAAGCATGCATCAAATTGGCTCCAACAGTTAGAAGCTTCTAAACCAGGTTAATCTATTCAGTAATCAGCACTACAAACAGCCAACCAAATTAGATAGGCCTTGTATCCTTGACATCAGGCAGCTAGGAACATTTCTGCAACAATCAAATGCTATTTTCTACCCTTTTCACTCTTAATATCTTTTTGCCCTGCCTAGGAATACCAAAATGCTACAAATTAGCTCAAATAAGTAACCAAACATAAAGATTAAAGAACATAAACCAGAGATTAAGGGAGGAAGAAGAACAATCAGAGATATATATGTATTAATGCTAAGCAATTAGAACCTTAATTTGAAACACCCACAAAGTATTATTCAAAGAATTGCAATTAGACCCAAAATTGTTAAAAATACATGAAAATCGATCTAAGTGGGACAAAAATTAACAACCAAATATGTATTCTAAATTCCCTTGCACCCAACACGACATACAAAAAACCCTAGATTTCAATACCATGGCTTATTACTACTACACATTTAGACAATAACTACAAATTCAATGCTTTTTTCACAATATCTAATTAAATCTGAACGGTGTTTTAGCACAAAAGCATGGAAATTGATGAGGAAAAGAATGAGATTACCTTAAATTGAAGAACTTAACAAGGAGAAAAAGGAAATTATATCACGGCTTTCACTCAAATTCGCTAAATTTCAAGCGATTTTGAAATATGATGAACTGAGATCTAAGAGCAAATTCAAAAGATGGCGAACTAAGATCTAAGAGCTAGATAGAGAAGAGAAAGAGAGAGAGAGAGAGAGATAGAGAGAGATAAGAGATAGGGTTTCTATAAGGCGGTTTCACTTTTTAAAGTTTTTTCCCTTATACACCGTTTTTGGGTTGCCTTGAGTCACGTGCAACTCATACAAATTTTTTGACGCTTTTTGTCGTCAAGAAATTAATTCGACACATAAAAGCGTCGAAAAATAGCGGAGATATATTTTTACATTGACGCCCCATTCACAGCGTCAAGCCAATAGGGTCCAAAAACTAAGGGATTTGTAGTAGTGTTACTTCGATATTCGAGCATGTTTAGTTCATAACTAATTCAATTTCTATGCTTTTGTTTATGTTCAAGTGAATGCTATACCTAAACGATTTCCCTTAATGTTTTATTTCTTGTTTTAGCATCTTTAGACTTTAGTTTATTTATCTCTTATTTCGGACTAGCTTAATTGTCGATAACATTTGGTGGTGTTTATCCGTTCTCTGTGGTTCGACCCCTATGCTTGCCTTATACTCGTATTAGGTTTGTTTAGCTTGTATAAATTGTATTTGATCTAGGGATAGACAATTGACGACGTGTTTATTCCATTGTCAATAAGCTTTTAGGAAAGTTGTTCAGGATTCTTCTCAATGGTTTTCGGAAGCAAGGAAAATAGTCATCACATAAAATGAATGGGAGGATGAAGTTTTCTCACCACCAGACCCTACAAAGATGGTTTCTTTCGCTAAAGAAACTTTGGAAAATATTTAATGCAGCCATGGAAATTAACTTTAATGGGAAAATGCTTGGGGGTCTCAATTCTTCCATCGCTCATTACTCAACGGGTTAGAGCTATGTGGAGGCCTAAAGTTACTCTTGAGGTCATTGATCTTGGAAAGGATGTGTATCTATTTCCTTTTTCTATTCAAGATGATTATGAAAGAACACTTCTAGGAGGACCTTGGTTCATTTTGGATCATTACTTAATGATTACAAAATGGAAGCCAAATTTTCGACCTTCCATGAATCATTTTGATAGGATGACTGTTTGGATTCGTTTCCCTGAATTACCGGTTGAATACTATAACAAGGATGCTCTTTTCGACATTGAAAAATTAGTTGGAAACCTCTAAGTATTGATTATGCAACTGACCATCTTACTCGAGCAAGATATGCAAGGGTTTGTCTCAATATCGATCTAACGTCTCCCTTGATCAAAAGTGTTTGGGTAGGCAATAATTGGCAAGCAATTGAGTATAAAAATATTCAATGTTCATGTTTTTCTTGTGGAAAAATTAGCCACACCAAAAATGTCCCCAATGTAAATTTGTCGTTGAAAATCTTGATAGCAATATTAGAGGCAAAAGCATCGTACCAAACTCATTATCTCTTAAAGTAGATGTTATTATGATAGATAATCCATTATCAACAACTTTCCTAATTTCTAGGGTCCTTGATCCCCACTCTACTTCTGAATATGGTCCATGGACAATTGTGTCCAATAAAAAAAATAACCCAAAATAATTAAAATGTAAAACAAGAAAACCAACATCTCTAACCATGGTACTCTCAAGCCCAAGCAAAATCCTCAGCCCAATTCCACATCTAAGCCCAAGCCAATGAAAAAAAACCATCTTCTTCTTCTGATGTTAGCAAAGAAATTTGCTCTACATCTTAAAAAACTCTTCTGTTCTGTTAGACCCCACTACATTATCACGAGCCATCATAATTTATAAAATATTGTATTGGATGGCTATGATGAGAACATTCTTGAAAAAAGACACACAAAATCCCAAATTTTCATCTTCCTCCTTTAAACCCCAATTTCAAGAACTTATGTGCCATCTGGCAGAGAGTAACCCAGCTTCAACAATGGTAAAGCATGCAAAATAGAGGTGATCAAATATGGCCCGACCTGCAAGCCCAACCCGATTTGCCCAAAAAACGGGCGGGTTTAGGCAAGCCAAAAATCACATTTTTAGTTAAAATAGCCCGATTCGACCCGAATAGCCCGTTTAAACCCGACAAGCCGAACACGTTTTAACGGGTTTGGGCATGACTTGTACAACTATCGCGTGTCTTTTAGTTATATTAATTGTGAGCAGATCTTTTCACTTCTTGTTATATAAAGGGTAAGATGGTCTTTACACTCTATCTTGTTATTTATGTTTTTTAAAGGGTAAGATGGTCTTTTCACTCATCTTGTTATTTATGTCTTTTATTTATATTAATTGTGAGTGGGTCTTGGGGTCATGTTTTGTTCCGCGGAAAGTCGTACTTTCCGAAACCCAACAGCAGTATCGGACCCTTGCTCATTTTGTTTTTGTAACTAAAAATCTCAAGGTGATTAAAATATATTTAATTTCTTCTTGTTGTTGCTAATTATATTAGTAGCTCGATTTTATTAATTTTAATCTCGTTTTATTTAGAATTTTGTCTCTAGAACCAAAAATTTTACCAAAGACTAGTGGATTTTTTGTGGAATCGATATTCTGGAAACATTCTAATCCTTTGTGGGTTGCGAAAAAGCCAAATTCCGCCAAGATATGCTTGTTTTGAGGGATTTTTTGTTTTCACGAAATTTTTTAAATCTTTTAAACCTTGAATCTTAATGGCATATTAATTGTGATTATGCATTTGGTTCTTTCCTTTATGCTTCTGCAATTTTAGATAACTTTTGAGCTAATTACTCCTCAACTATTGGTGCTTAATAGTCGGCTCAAATTTTCACATAATTGCAAATAAATTGCTTTAAGTGTGAAGAGTTTGTGTTTTGAGGCTCTTAAGTACTAAAGATTCAATCTTTGATTACTGTAAGTGATTGGAACTTTGTGTTACTAAATTCCATGTATGTTTATTGAACTTTCTTGATTAAATATTTATTAAGTTGATTGGAATCATTAAGTTTCAAATTTTGATAGAATATTCATTAATCTTCATATTTGAAGATGTAACTTTTCAAGGATTCACAAGTTATAGTTGGAATTTGCCTTAGGCGTGTTTAGGACTATGTAATTCTGCATATTTGCCAAATTTAATTATTTTATTTATGTTTATTTATTTTAATTAAATTTTTAAGGCTAGGCCTCGGGTTTTGAGCGGCACTTGCAAATTTTAAATTTGGCAAAATATTGGGTTTACCGCCTTAATTAAGTGGATTAATTAAGGTGGATGCGGAATTCAGTGGGAGTTTCAATTTTAATTGCGCTTAATCACATAATTGGTTAACAACTTTGACTCTTTTTAATTAGGCGTGATTATCGGATTAACCACCTAAATTAGTTACTAGTTTACGCGTGTTTGTGCATTACTATTTGTTTATCGTTGTAAAATGCATGGGTAATTCACATATAGTGAATGGATGAATGGAATGTATATTCTCTCATAGGTTTTGTAAAATGGCAACTAGTGGGCCCGATTAGGATAGAAAATACAAACTGCGTTCCGTCATGTATTTTTGTAAATCTAAATACGGTATGCGAACCGTTGAGTATTTTTGTACCTTAATATTTAGATTAGTCCTAATGGTAGATACTAGTACTTGCATGTTTTTGTTTATGCCTTAAGCACGGAGTTTCTTGGAAGACAAAGCCATGAAGTTGCAAATCAAGACCATTGCAGACTTGAAGATTCAAGGGGTCATGGTAGTTATCAAATGCATCATTTACTTATGTTTTCGATATATAAATATGCTTATATATATAAATGATATGATAGCTGCATGTTTGGGATTCGAATATTGTGATGATGAATTAAGTTCACTTAAATTAACCAATATAGAATCCCTAAATCCCTAAAATATTGAGTAAAACTTGTCATTCCATAACAACATTTACTGAACTAATGCGCATAATGATGGGCTATGCCAAAGCTAGGCATCACTATCTCCCTAGGAACGTAAGGTATGTTGATGGGTTTTCCAAAGAAAAACATCACATACATGTTGGTTTTGGTTAAACTCAACTATATGAGTGATGGAGGCCCAACATATCATGGCAAAGGAGATAAATTTTTGAGAGAGCATTAGATGCAACGATTTATCTAATTAAGAGTGGCTTGGAGCCATTAGCAAAGAGTTTCTTACCTTAGAGTAATAAGTGATAAGACAAGCCAAGACATGCTTAAATACTCATTGATTCTTAAGATCTTGGAATCGACTTATTCTCACTTAATAGGGACAAATTTAATGTGTGAATAAGACGTTTAAATAAGCTTGATATATATTCATGAATTCAATATTATTTAAGTATTATGAATGGTTTTTCATTTCAAATTTTTTTAATTGTAGAACCACATCTGCGAATAACTCAAACAACCAATTCTTGTTGCGCTCAATTCTCGACAAGGTGAAATTGAGTGGGCCAAATTTTCTTGATTGAAAAAGAAACTTGCGTATAGTTCTCATACAAGAGAAAAAGGAATACGTCCTTGATGAGGAAATGCCCAAGACTCCCAATGAGGAAGTGACTCAAGCTGCCCCTAAACCGATGAAAATTGGCAGTCGAGATGTTAAGTGCATCATGTGTCCACTATGTCACCTGACCTTCAGAAGAATTTCTTTGAGAAGGAGACAGCTTTGGAGATCATTTTTGAGCTTCAGAATATGTTCCAAGAGCAGGCCCAAACTGAAAGGTTTGAAACCCACACGCAGATCCTTGAGAATAAGCTTAAGAAAGGAGAGTTGGTCAGCCTACACGTACTTAAAATGATAAGTTTATTTGACAACATGGAAAGGCTTGATGCGGGTATTCAACCGAGATGGAAATTGACATTATTCTCCACTCGTTGCGCAAAGGCTATGATCAGTTCAAAATGAACTATAACTTGCACAACATGTAGAAAACCCCTACCGAGCTTCATGGTATGTTGAAGCAAGTTGTGCAAATGCTCAAAGATGAAAGAAAGCATGACATGCTTATGGTTAAGAAGGGAAAGCCATTCAAGTGCTCGGGAAAGAAGAAGAAAAGCTTTAAGGGGATGGGTAAGAAGACCTTTCCACCTAAGCCAAAATCTACTAAAGACAACAAGAAGAAAAATGTAGCATCTTCTAAATCTGATTCCGAATGTTTCTACTGCAAGGAGAAGGGACATTGGAAAAGAGATTGCCTCAAATTCAAGGAAGATAAGAAGAACGACACAATTGCTTCTACATTAGGTGT